AGCAAGGGAATGGAGAAAAAGAGACTGATACTTAGTGAACATCACTTAGTGAAACACTTTACCTGTGTAATCTTAATGAATTATAGTAACAGTTCTTGAGGTAGGTGTTTTTTGATCCCTGGTTTCAAAAAAATGAAACTAAGGTACAGGAGGTTAAGTGCCCTGTGCATTCTGTTTAAATTCACTCTGTTTATTACATTTGCCCACACTATTGTAAACTTACAAGGAGAGGGATTTTTGTAACTGCTTGATCCTCCTTGCTCAGAAAGTTTCTGGCATATAGTAGGAGCCCTGGTAACATAGTGGATTAAACACTGGGCTGCTAGCCTCAAAGACAGTAGTTTGACTCTCTGGGCTGCTCCTTGGGAGAAAGATGATGCTTTCTTTATGCTCCCATAAAGATTTATAGCCTCAGAAACCCTATACAGGATGGCTATGAATCAGAACTGACTCAACGGCACTTAACAACAACATGTATTTGAATGACTGGAGTGGCAGATCTAGAATTTGAGCCCAAGTATCTTTGTCTATTTTCTGTCATATTATGTTATTTCCCCAGCATTTCTAGGGAGTTGGCAACTTTTTCCCTTTTATCATCAGCATCCGTCTCTGTGGACAACGATCTGTGTTGACACTTTAAGATTTGTTCAGAGTTTTTATATTCTTCAGTTAACTAGAATACCACCTCTTGAGCCTCTCCTGTCATCAAATTCTCTATGTAGAGAGATATAACTCACTGAACAAATCTGCTTATCTTTTGGAATTGGGATATAAGATAGTTGCCTTATATTTGTTTTTAAATAGAAATACTCATAAGAAGACCAATGAGTTTGGGCTAAAAGGGGGTTGCAATTAAAAAAATTTAGTCATTTAAAGGCAGAATACCTACCTATTCTCAAGTGAATCTGTAAGTGTATAATTCTCGTTTTCCATTGTTGGTGTTGTTAAGTGCCTTCTAGTTGGTTCTGACTCAGAGCAACCCCGTAGAGGGTTTCCAAGGAGGGCAGACCAGAAAGTCAGTGAGAGCCATACCCACAGGACTGCCATAGAGCAACGTCTGGGAGGGGTCCAAACACAGAGTTTATGGTTTTCCTTTCCCCACTGAATCTTGAACAGAGTTAGCTTCTCCAGGATATGATAGCAAGACTCAGAGTATAGCCAACCAGGTAAACGCCTAACCTGTGGTGTCCAGAGTATTTACTGGGACTCAATCACATACTCCCTATGTAGCTGACCAATAGTGGCCAATTCCTCCTTAGGTAAAATCCGACATGGCCTAGCTCAAAGCCCCCATCATAATCACATTGTTAGACTCTCCAGAAGCCAAAGCCCCAAGACAAAGACTTTCCTGTCCAGCAGGACACCCAAGGGACCTAGAGATCACCTAGTTGTTGTTAATGTGCTGTGGAGTTGGTTCCAATTCATAGAGACCCTGTACAGGGTTTCCGAGGCTGTAAATCTTTATGGGAGCAGAAAACCTCATCTTTCTCCTGTGGAACAGCTGGTAGTTTCGAACTGCTGACCAAGAGAGAAGCAGCCCGATTCGTAACCACTACGCTACCACAGCTCCTTTAGTAGCTAAGGACAAAGGCCAGACCTCTAGTCAATTTTATTTAACTCGTTGTTATGTGCCGTGGAGTCGGTTCTGGCTCATAGCAACCCTGGACAGGGTTTCAGAGACTGTAAATTTTGACGGCAATTAAACTCATTTGCTCATTTTAAATCAGAGGTTCTTAAGGTGGGTTCTGTAGATTTTGCCATGGATGGTTCACAGGATGTCTCTACCCTTGAAGCTGCTAAATTCTGTTAGCACAAATGAAAAGCAGCTTAATGTATGTTTTATATGTAAAATCATTTTATATGATGATAAAATGATTATGTTCATTTTATCATTTGAGCCCTCCTTTCAATCAAATTTTCCATGGGGTCTGTGATTCAGAAATGTTTTAAGACCTTAAATGACTAAATGGATTCATTTATTTTCATGGTTTTTAGGCTGGTGGGCCACCTAAGAAGGGGAAACCAGCTGCACCAGGAAGCTCAGGGAGCAGTGGACCCAAGAACAAGAAAGGCGTGGATACCAAAGAAATTGTGGAGCCTGAGCTCTCGGTTAGTACTGTGCTGTCTCAGACTTGGAAAACCTTGGAGGGTGGAGACCTGTGAAAAGAACTGCATTATTATTCTTCCCTTGGTAGTTTCTACAACATATAGTTAATGTCTTTTAGGTTATTGAAACTATATCTTGAATAGCCTTGACCTTTAACTAGGCCAAACCTGTTTGCCAAGTCCTTTCTGACTCCTGTCAACTCAAAGGCTGTATAATAGAAGGCTCATGTACTGTAGCATACCTAGAAGAGTGTTCTTTGAGTTTTGACTTGGGTGTTTTTACGTTCTTAGAATCTGTTTCCTTAAACAGATCCTAATTTTAACATGGTTTCTTATAGATAGAAGTATGTGAAGAAAAAGCTTCTGCTGTCCTTCCCCCTACCTGTATACAGCTTCTAGACAGCAGTAATTGGAAGGAAAGGCTGGCCTGTATGGAAGAGTTCCAGAAGGTGGGTCCAGAGGGATGAACTGAGTGTGAAAGAAAATTATATTTTATAGGAACAGTGACATTGGCAAAGCACTTGTCCTAATTGCTGTGATTTATAGCCAATAAATTATGTTTCACTGCATTAACTAAGGAGCGGGTAGGGGTTTTGGGTTAGTTGTTTTCTGTAGTGATGTTTGTTATCTTTTAGTATCTGCATTCTTTGCTCATAACTTAGTACTTATTCAAGAAAATTAAGGCCTTCTGAATAATAAGGCTAAGTTGAATTTCAAAATTATGGTGCATGTTCATTAAACTCCCTAGACAGTCTCTCCACTTAAAGCACTTCTTGTCCATGTCTCTGTTTTTCCTTTTGTTATCATCATTCCTTAGTAGAACACAGCCTCTTGGTATAAGAGACTCCTTTAAAAAAAATCTAGTGTTGGAAAGTAACAGCAATTCATTTTGGCATATACTGTGTGATTTGAAATAACCACTCTGTCACTTCTCACCTAATTCACTGCTTTTCAGAGAATTAGATAGGGCAAAGTATGTATAAGCAGTTTCTACCACACTAGGTAAATGAAAACTGTTACAGTTACTTTCTTTGAAACAATTTATGAATTTCTCAAATATAAAAAAAAAGTTTCTGTGATAATCATGTAATAGTCATACCAAGCATCCAGCTTAAGAAATAGAGCATTATTGCATAAACAATGTAAGTCCCTGTATGGTGGTGGTTGTTGAGTGCCACCGAGTCGGTTCTGACTCATAGTGACCCTGTATAGGGTTTCCAAGGCTGTAAGTCACTGTAGGAGCAGAAGACTTCGTCTTTCACCCTCAGAGCAGCTGGTAGATTCAAACTGCTGACATTTAACTATAAACAGCCCAATTTGTAATCCACCATGCTACCAGGGCTCCTTAAGGTATTTATGTAACTCCTCTTAATTCCATTTGCCACTCTCTCCCTTCAGCTGTAACCATTTACTTGATTTTGATGTTAGGGTTTTCTTGGAAGTCAGCTTTAACCCCTTAACTTACTCTTAACGTTACATCAAGGCTGTGGAACTAATGGACCGGACTGAAATGCCATGCCAGGCATTAGTGAGGATGCTGGCCAAGAAACCTGGATGGAAGGAGACGAATTTTCAGGTATTTTTTTAAGTGGACATTTAATGTCTTTTAAATTTTAAATAATTTTAGTTACATCATTCTGTGACATAATAAAGCTATAGTTTGTCGTGGCAGTATTTAACATGGCTTTTTTTTAAATGTCAGCCAACATGTCATCTTTTTAAATGAACTGTGAAAATTATATTTTTGTTAAACACAAGGGGACTTCAGAACACTGCCCAGTCCTGCACCGTTCTCACAAGTGTTGTTAACTTGAACCCTTTGCTGCTGCCACTGTGTCAGTGCATCTTGCTGTAGGTCTTCCTCTTTTTTTTACTGACCCTCCCCTTTACCAAGCATGATGCCCTTCTCCAAGGACTGGTTCCTCCTGATAATATGTCATAAGTATGAGAAATGAAGTCTCACCAGCCTGCCTTCTAAGGAGCATTCTGGCTGGTCTTCTTCTTTTCTTTCTCTGAACCATTTCAGGACCGGAAGGTGGGCTGGCTGGTGGCAGGGAGGGCAGGGTGACAGTCAGCAGCAGAAAGCAGGTGGGGTCCTCAAGCGAAGATGGAACGGTTGCAGCCAACATTGGCTGTGTTCATGTCTTAGTAGTTGCTGTAGATCCTATCGGGGCTGATGTGCAGATGCACGGCCAGCAGACCACACAGAAGCTTGCTGTGTGTGCGGTTCTGCAGGCCAGCGATTTGTTGATGCCTTGCAAGCTGCAGAATGTGCCCAGCTCACTGGATCCCCTAAGGCCACGAGCTGGTCCAGAGCCACATGCACCACTATGTACTGTGCCTGCTTGCCAGTGGCCTGCACCAGCTGCTGGGTGAGCTGTAGTGGAGCCTGTCGGGTACAGAGGTGTGAGGAACATTAGTGTTTACTACAAACATTGGCATGATGGTGGAAAGATGGCCGGATGGCCTGGCTGTACTTCTTGCAACACAGATTTGTTTGATCTTCTGGGAGTCCATGGGACTTTCAGTATTTTTCTCCAACACTGTAACTCAAATGCATCAATTCTTGTACTGTCTTCCTTTTTCATTGTCCAACATTCACATATGCATATGAGGCCAGTGAAAATACCATGACTTGGGTCAGGTGCACCTTAGTCTTCCAATTTACCTCTTTGCTCTTGAACACTTTAAAGAGGTCTCATGCAGCAGACATGCCTATTGCAATACATTGTTTGATTTCTTGGCTACTGCTGCCATGAATGTTGATGGCAGATCTGAGCAAAATGAAGTCTTTGACAACTTCAATTTTTCTCCATTTAGCATAATGTTACTGGTCCAATTGTGAGCATTTTTATTTTCTTTACATTAAAGTGCAATTGTAGGTCAGCGCAATCATGGCGGGGCTGCTGAAGACGATCACTGGCCTGGTGGGGTTGGCTGTATGTGACAGTCCGTACAAGGAGCCAGATGTTAAAAAATTAGAAGACCAACTTCAGGGTGGACAAATTGAGGAAGTGATTTTTCAGGCTGAAAATGAACTGAGTCTGGCGAGAAAAATGATGCTATGGAAACCATGG